CGTGACAGACTTTGTATTTCTAGGTGTAAAGATTACGGCAGATGCAGACTGTGGCCAGGAAATCAGAAGACGCTTACTTCTTGGGAGGAGAGCAATGTCCAGTCTCGATAAAATAGTAAAGAGTAGAGACATCAGACTGGCAACAAAGATCCACCTAGTCAAAGCCATTGTATTCCCTGTAGTAACCTACGGATGTGAGAGCTGGACCTTAGGGAAGGCTGAGCGAAGGAAGATCAATGCTTTTGAGCTGTGGTGTTGGAGGAAAGTTCTGAGAGTGCCTTGGACTGCGAGAAGATCCAACCAGTCCATACTTCAGGAAATAAAGCCCGACTGCTCATTGGAGGGAAGGATAGTAGAGGCCAAGATGAAGTACTTTGGCCACATCATGAGAAGAAATGAAAGCTTAGAGAAGACAATGATGCTGGGGAAAATGGAAGGAAAAAGGAAGAGGGGCCGACCAAGGGCAAGATGGATGGATGGTATCCTTGAAGTGACTGGCTTGACTCTGAAGGAGCTGAGGGTTGTGATGGCTGACAGGGAGCTCTGGCGTGGGCTGGTCCATGAGGTCAAGAAGAGTCAGAAGTGACTGAACAAATAAACAACACTAGCCAGGGCTGATCTAGGATTTGGTGCTTTTAAGATATTTGGGGGAATTGGATAGGTGATAAAGTTGTATAAGACTATGCATGCTGTGGATGATGTTGTTTGGGAATTTTTTCTCTTTTGGAATACTGGAATCCAAACTCATCTAACTGAACTGAATAAGGGAAAAAAAATAAGAATAAGACATCTTTACTTTGGGAACCATCAATCCCAGAACCTTCATTTCACTCTGGCTAACTGCATTTTCTCTCCAGCAAAGGATCACTGCCTTGTTGGGGCGCTGGAGCTTGAGCACCTCAATGATGTCATGAGTGAAACCGTGAAGGGCCACCCAAGACAGGACGGTCGTGGCAGAGAGGTCAGACCAAGCGTGATCCCTGGGGAAGGCAATGGCAAACCACCCCAGTATCCTTGCCAAGGAAACTAAATGGACCAGTACAACCAGAGATGGAACTCCCAGGTTGGAAGATGGCCAAAATGCTACTGGGGAGGAGCAGAGGATAAGTTCAACTAGCCCCAGATGTGATGACGCAGCTAGCTCAAAGCCGAAAGGAAGGCTAGCGGCCGACGGTACTGGAGGTGAAACGACGAATCCGATGCTCTAAAGATCAACACACCATAGGAACCTGGAATGTAAGATCTATGAGCCAGGGCAAATTGGATGTTGTTATTGGTGAGATGTCAAGACTAAAGATAGACATTCTGGGGGTCAGCAAACTGAAATGGACTGGAATGGGCCTCTTCACATCAGATGACCACCAGATCTACTACTGCGGACAGGAGGAACATCGAAGAAATTGAGTAGCCTTCATAATTAATAAGAAATTCACTAAAGCAGTGCTTGGATACAACCCAAAAAATGACAGAATGATCTCAATTCGAGTGCAAGGAAAGCCTTTCAACATCACAGTGATCCAAATATACGCCCCAACCACAGCTGCTGAAGAAGCAGAAGTAGATCAGTTCTATGAGGATCTGCAGGACCTACTGGATAATACACCAAAAAGAGGCATTATTTTCATTACAGGAGACTGGAATGCCAAGGTGGGAAGTCAAATGACAACTGGGATCACAGGCAAGCATGGTCTGGGAGAACAAAATGAAGCGGGACGCAGGCTGATAGAATTTTGCCAGGAAAACTCGCTGTGTATAACGAACACTCTCTTCCAACAACCTAAAAGACGGCTTTATACATGGACCTCACCAGATGGTCAACACCGAAATCAGATTGACTACATCCTTTGCAGCCAAAGGTGGCGGACATCCATCCAGTCGGTGAAAACAAGACCTGGGGCTGACTGTAGTTCACATCACGAACTTCTTATTGCTCAATTTAGAATCAGACTAAAGAGATCAGGAAAAACACACAGACCAGTTAGATATGATCTCACTAACATTCCTAGCGAATATACAGTGGAGGTGAAGAACAGATTTGAAGGACTAGATTTAGTAAACAGAGTCCCAGAGGAACTATGGACAGAAGTCCGCGACATTGTTCAGGAGACGGCAACAAAGTACGTCCCAAAGAAAAAGAAAACCAAGAAGGCAAAATGGTTGTCTGCTGAGACACTGGAAGTAGCCCAAGAAAGGAGGAAAGCAAAAGGAAACAGGGATAAGGGGAGATATGCCCAGTTAAATGCGCAATTCCAGAGGTTAGCTAGAAGAGATAAGGAACTATTTTTAAATAAGCAATGCATGGAAGTTGAAGAAGACAACAGAATAGGAAGGACAAGAGACCTCTTCCAGAAAATTAGAAACATTGGAGGTAAATTTCAGGCAAAAATTGGTATGATAAGAAACAAAGATGGCAGGGACCTAACAGAAGCTGAAGAGATCAAGAGAAGGTGGCGAGACTATACAGAAGATCTGTATAGGAAGGATAATAATATTGAGGATAGTTTTGACGGTGTGGTGAATGAATTAGAACCAGACATCCTGAGCAGTGAGGTTGAATGGGCCTTAAGAAGCATTGCTAACAACAAGGCAGCAGGAGACGACGGGATCCCAGCTGAACTGTTTAAAATCTTAAAAGATGATGCTGTCAAGGTGATGCATGCCATATGCCAACAAATATGGAAAATACAAGAATGGCAATCAGACTGAAAAAATCAACTTATATCCCCATACCAAAAAAGGGAAATGCTAAAGAATGCTCAAACTTTCATACAGTGGCTCTTATTTCTCATGCTAGTAAGGTAATGTCTCAAGATCCTGCAAGGAAGACTCCAGCAATACATGGAGCGAGAGTTGCCAGATGTTCAAGCTGGGTTTAGAAAAGGCAGAGGAAGAGACCAAATTGCCAATATCCGCTGGATAATGGAGAAAGGCAGGGAGTTTCAGAAAAACATCTACTTCTGCTTCATTGACTATTCTAAAGCCTTTGACTGTGTGGATCATAATAAATTGTGCAAGTTCTTAGTGGGATGGGCATCCCAAGCCACCTTGTCTCTCTCCTGAGGAATCTGTACAAGGACCAAGTAGCAACAGTCAGAACTGACCACTGAACAACAGACTGGTTCAAGATTGGGAAAGGCGTACGGCAAGGCTGCATACTCTCACCCAACCTTTTTAACTTGTATGCAGAACACATCATGCGATGTGCGGGGCTTGATGAATGCAAAGCTGGGGTGAAAATTGCTGGAAGAAACATTAACAACCTCAGATATGCAGATGACGCCACTCTGATGGCCGAAAGCGAGGAGGAGCTGAGGAGCCTTCTAATCAAGGTGAAAGAAGAAAGCGCAAAAGCCGGGTTGCAGCTAAACATCAAAAAAACCAAGATTATGGCAACAAGAATGATTGACAACTGAGAAATAGAGGGAGAAAACGTGGAGGCCGTGACAGACTTTGTATTTCTAGGTGCAAAGATTACTGCAGACTGCAGACTGCAGCCAGGAAATCAGGAGACGCTTACTTCTTGGGAGGAGAGCAATGTCCAATCTCGATAAGATAGTGAAGAGTAGAGACATCACACTGGCAATGATGATCCGCATAGTTAAAACAATGGTATTCCCCATAATCACCTACAGATGTGAGAGCTGGACCATAGGGAAGGCTGAGCGAAGGAAGATAGATGCTTTTGAACTGTGGTGTTGGAGGAAATTCTGAGAGTGCCTTGGACTGCGAGAAGATCCAACCAGTCCATCCTCCAGGAAATAAAGCCCGACTGCTCATTGGAGGGAAGGATACTAGAGACAAAGTTGAAGTACTTTGGCCACATCATGAGGAGACAGCAAAGCCTGGAGAAGACAGTTATGCTGGGGAAGGTGGAAGGCAAAAGGAAGAGGGGCCGACCAAGGGCAAGATGGATGGATGGCATCCTTGAAGTGATTGGACTGACCTTGAAGGAGCTGGGGGTGGTGACGGCCGACAGGGAGCTCTGGCGTGGGCTGGTCCATGAGGTCACGAAGAGTCGGAGACGACTGAACGAATGAACAACACAATATATTATATTATATTATATTATATTATATTAATAATATAATATATTGTATGTACATATAACTTGTAAGCCGCTCTGAGTCCCCTTCAGGGTGAAAAGGGCAATAAATAAATCATAAATACTGAAATATACAGCCTTGCAAAAGAGAAAACATGAGTGGGAGGGGATAAGAAGGCGGAGCGGAGACGGTATTCTGGAACGTCTTCTACGCATAATGAAAATATTGTTGTTGTTGTTTCGTTCAGTCGTCTCCGACTCTTTGTGACCTCATGGACCAGCCCACGCCAGAGCTCCCTGTCGGCCGTCACCACCCCCAGCTCCTTCAAGGTCAGTCCAGTCACTTCAAGGATGCCATCCATCCATCTTGCCCTTGGTCGGCCCCTCTTCCTTTTGCCTTCCACTTTCCCCAGCATCATTGTCTTCTCCAGGCTTTGCTGTCTCCTCATGATGTGGCCAAAGGACTTCAACTTATATAGGAATATATAATACTTATATAGGAATATATATAGGAATATATAATACTAATATATATTATATAATATATATTATATATATAATATAATTATATAGGAATATATAATACTAAAATTGTGCTATGGTAATAATATAATATATTGTCTGTACATATAGCTTATAAGCCGCTCTGAGTCCCCTTCGAGGTGAGAAGGGCAATAAATAAATCATAAATACTGAAATATACAGCCTTGCAAAAAAGAAAACATGAGTGGGAGGGGCTAAGAAGGCGGAGCGGAGACGGTATTCTGGAACGTCTTCTATGCAAACGGCGTACGCAAGCGGCGCAAGGGTCGAGCGAGTGCGCGCCTGCCTCTTCTCTCTCTCTCGCGCCAATACGCGCCAGCCTCTTCCTCGCGCTAAGAGCTCCTGGCCCCGCCTCTCTCCGGAGCCCTCCAATCAGCGCCTTTCCCCGCACTTGCCTTCGCCTCCCATTGGTCGAGCCGCGCGTCGCTCTCACCCTCCGGACTCCTTTTTCCCGCTCCCCATTCATGCAGTTTGGTTGAGTGTTGGTGTATTTTTTACTGTTTTGCAATAAAAGAATTAGAAGGGGGATTCGTGGATGTTATATATATATATCTATATTTTTAGATAGCAAAACATTTTTTCTATTTTTTATTTTTGAGCCAAACAAAAAAACAAAACAAAACTGCAAATTGCTGGGGATTGATTTGCACCGCTGCAATTGATTGAAACTCTTGGAACAGTTGGGGGCCAAAGGAGAGGAGCCAATTCGGAATTTTTTTTTGGTATTGTTGTTGTTTCTCTTTGAAGCAAAACTTGGCAAAGGATTGCAATTCTTGATCTTTTTTAATTATTATTATTTTTGCAAGGAAAGAATAATTGGCACCTATTTTTATTTTATTTTATTTTTTGCAAAGAAAGCAACTCTTTCCCCAGGTCTCATTATGCCCAAGAGAAAGGTAAGTGCAAAAAAAAGGAACCCAAAAAATGCAGCCATGGCGGAAGGGCAAAGAAAAGGGGAAGGAGGGGGAGCTTGGAAGCAATGGAGGGGGAAAGGCCTGCTGTGCGCATGCGCGGAGGGCTCTGTTTGTGTGTAGCTGGAGAAAGGGAGGAAAGGGGGGGGGGGGAGGCTTTGCATATATTTCTCTTTCCAATCTCTGTGCAATGTTTTCCCAGAGATCCAGCAAAGCCAAAGAGGGTAAAGGACATTCATAATAATTAATAATAATTAATAATAGCCTTCCTTCCCTTCCTGGTGCTTGCAAAGGAGGAGGGAAGTCAAGCCAGCCATGGCAGCCAGCTTTGCTATATATATATATATTTACTAGGTTGGCCCTTTGAATTGCTTTGGAGGCCCATAAAGGGCTTGGCTTCCCTGGGAATGAAAGGGAAAGGGGATTCCTGCCCTTCTCAAGGGTCTCCCCCATGCTTTTCCCTCTTTGCCTTTGTTCTTTTCTCCCCTCCTCCTCCTCGTCAGAGCAGATGGTTGTGCAACCAGGAGGAGGAGGAAGAGGAGGAGGAAGAGCAACATGGCCTTCTCTGGAAGGAAAGGGTCGAGGGACATGGAGAGAGATAGAGAGAGAGATTGGCTGTGTATATTGTATGCATGTGTATATTGTATGCATGTGTATATGCAGCACAACAGTAGGGATAGATGCCTCTTCTGTGCAGGATGGTCAGGAAATCCTTGCCAAATCTCCTGTATGGTGTGTGTGTGTGTTTATACACACACACACACACACACATATATATATGTATACAGAAAGAAGAGACTAATCCCTTGCCAAATCTTCTGCATTTTGTGTATCTAAGTATGTGTATATACATATATATACACACAGAGAGAGAAGAAACTGTAACCCCTTGCCAAATCTTCTGTATTTTGTGTATGTAAGTATGTGTATATACATATATATATACACACAGAGAGAGAAGAAACTGTAACCCCTTGCCAAATCTTCTGTATGTGTGTATGTGTGTGTATACACACACATACACACAAGACACTGTAACTAACTGTGTATCTATCTATCTATATATAACTGTGTATCTATCTATATATATATATATACACACACACAGAAGAGACTAACCGCTTGCAAAGCTTTTGTATTGTGTGTGTGTAAGTATGTGAATATATACACACATACACACACGCACAAGACACTGTAACCCCTTGCCAAATCTTCTGTATTTTGTGTATGTATGTGTGTGTGTGTGTGTATATATATACATACACACAAGACACTGTAACCCCTTGCCAAATCTTCTGTATTTTGTGTATGTATGTGTGTGTGTGTGTGTATATATATATACATACACACAAGATACTGTAACCCCTTGCCAAATCTTCTGTATTTTGTGTATGTATTTGTATATACATATATATACACAGAGAGAGAGAGAAGAAACTGCCAATTCTGTATTTTGTGTATGTGTGTATAGACACACAAGACACTGTAACCCCTTGCCAAATCTTCTGTATTTTGTGTATGTATGTATGTATGTATGTATCTATATCTATACACATACACATACAGAAGAGACTGTAACCGCTTGCCAAAGCTTTTGTATTTTGCGTGTACAAGTATGTATGTATGTGTGCATATATACACACATGCACAAGACACTGTAACCCCTATGCCAAAGCTTCTGTATTTTGTGTGTGTAAGTATGTATGTATGTGTGTATATATACACATATACACACACACACACAAGACACTATAACCCCTTGCCAAATCTTCTGTATTTTGTGTATGTATGTACATATGTGTGTGTATATACACACATACACACAGAAGAGACTGTAACCCCTTGCCAAAGGTTCTGTATTTTGTGTATGTATGTGTGTATATATACTCCTCACATATACACACAAGACACTGTAACCCCTTGCCAAATCTTCTGTTTTTGTGTATGTATTTTATGTGTTTATATATACATACATACACACACAGAAGAGATTGTAACCCCTCGCCAAATCTTCAGTATTTTGTGTATGTAAGTATGTGTATGTATACATACATACACACACAGAAGAGACTGTAACCCCTCGCCAAATCTTTTGTATGGTGTGTATGTGTATATATCATACACAGAAGAGACTGTAACACCTTGCCAAATCTCATTTGTGGTGTGTGAATATATATACACACACACAGAGAGAGAAGAGACTGTAACCCCTTGCCAAATCTCATATATAGTCTGTATGGATGTGTATATACATATACATACATACAGAGAGAAGAGACTGTAATCCCTTGCCAAATCTCATGTGTGATGTGTGTGTGTATGTATGTGTGTATATATATATATATATATACACATACACACACACACACACATTCCTACACAGAAAATAATGTAACCCCTTGCCAAATTTCATATTCTGCATGTACACAGAGACAGTATGCATGCATGTGTGTGTGTGTACGTATATATATATATATGTTGTGTATATATGCTTATACACAACATACATGATAAATGGATATATATATATATAGATATACATTTATCGTGTATGTTGTGTATAAGCATATATACACCCAGAGAGTTTATATAATAATAATAATAATAATAATAATAATAATTTTATATCTCACCCACCTCTCTTCGTGGCTCGAGGCGGGTTACGCATAAGCATTTTTAAAAATTATATATGTATTTCTATGAGAGAGAGATATGAAAATGTATTTCTATCAAAGAACACATATTAAAATATGCAGAATAGAGATTAAACACAAGGCGGGAGTTTAAAATCTATGTTTAAAACCAGCTGGGTAGGCCTGCCAAAAAAGAGAGGTTTTTTTTGGTTTTTAAATTCCAAAGGCCGATCTAGGTATATACCTGCTTTACAGAATGGTCAGAAAAGCCAAATCTCATGTATTCTATGTATATATGCACAGAGAGTCAGTGTGTGTGTGTGTGTGTGTGTATATATTTATGTATGTGTGCGTGCTTGTATATATGGATCAATTGGATGGTCAGAAAAGCCCTTACCAGATCTGATATATATTGTGAATGTGTATATACACATAGAGACAGTATCTATCTATCTATCTAAGTGGTCAGAAAACCCTTTTTTCCAAATTTGATGTATTGTGTGTATATATACACAATGCATATCTAAGTCATTTATTCAGCAGGAAGGTCTGGAAATCCCTTCTCAAGCACACATATCTAAAGAGAGAGACAAGCACATATACATATAGAGAGACATAAACACACACAGAGATATAAACATACACATATGTAGACATATACACACATAGAGAGAGACATACAAACGCACGCAATCACAGGCATACAAACACACGCACGCACACACATATTTAAATACAGATACAAATACACACCGAGATTATAATTTTTTGCAGGTTTTCCCCAAAGAAACATATTTGCCCCTAACCGATTATAATTTGTGAATGTGTATCTGTTAGATTTTATATTGTATCCAATATATATCACTTTCTCCTCCAAAAAGGTGTATTTCCCCTTAACAGAATTAACTTTGGGTTGGTTTTTTCTTTGCAACCCTCCTTCCATGTTTATATACCCTTAACAGTTTGCAATAATGGATTTTATTGTTATTCTGGGGCAGTCTGTTTGAACACTAGAGCTTGCAGTTGTAGATCAGTGAGGTTTATGGCTGCTCTGCTGCAAAGGCAAGCAGCAAAGGGTTTTGAACCCCAGGCATAAAACTTTGGGGGGGGGGGGGGGGGGTGCAGCTTGGATCTGGTGAATCTTAGGATATTGGTTCTTCCATAGGAACGTCTTTTGCAGGCTTTGGAATAGCTGCTGCGCAAGGGAGCATGCCTCTGAGGAGGGAAAGGAGCACATGGATGCGCCAGGGGCTTTTGTTTGTGTCCAAAAGGCCTTCTCGGAGTCCCGGCCTTGCCATGCCCTTGCCGAAGGGCCCACAACGACCTTGGGGCTGGGAGTTTGGCGGGAAGCGGCCTCCTTTGAAGAGAAGCCAGGCAGCGTCTGGAACGTTGTGACGTCAGGCCAACAGAAAAACCCAGGCCTGGGTCCCAGGGCATGACGGGCCTCGTAGTCTGCAAACATGCTCAGAGTCTGCAAACATGCTCGTCTTAGTGAAAGCAACCCTTTTCTGTTTTATCCATGGCTTTTGCAGAAGGAAGTAAACAATGCAAGAAGTACTTTTCTTGGCTTGGTTACAAGAACAAATAAATGCCTGCAAATGTCATGCCTAGACTTAGAATCTGAGCAGGGTGAGTGCTGGCTAGGAATTGGGTGGGATTCCAGGCCACATCTCATGTATTTGATGTATATGCACAGAGAGACAGTTTGTGTTTGTGTTTAGGTATATATGGATCAACTAGATGGTCAGAAAAGCCGTTTCCAGATCTCATATATGTTGTGAATGTGTATATATACACAGACAGTATATATATCGAAATGTTTGAAAACCCCTTGCCAAATCTGATGTATATGCACTAAGTCATTTATTCAGCAGGAAGGTCATGAAATCTTTTGTCAAACATACATTTGTACATACAAACATACATTCTTGGGTTGTTTGCAAGGAGGAATGAATGCCTGCAAAGGTCATGCCTAGCTTTGGAAGCTAAGCAAAGTCAGTGCTAGTTAGGAATTGGATGGGATCCCAGGACTGGCAAACCCACTTTCCAAGAAAACCCCCGGATCACCATCAGACAACACAAAGAAGAGGGAATTTCAGCAAATGTTGCTTGTTACCCGGCTGAGAAATAAACACTTTCCTCTGGAGGCCCCGGGGCACTCTCTTGGGCTGGATCTGCACTACAAAATAATGCAATTTGAATGGCATTATTATTATTATTATTATTATTATTAAAATTGGATTGTATAAGTAGAGTATAACTGTCACCATAATAATAATTATTGTGTTGTCGAAAGCTTTCATGGCTGGAATTATTAGGTTGCTGTGAGTTTTCTGGGCTGTATGGCCATGTTCTAGAAGCATTATCTCCTGATGTTTTGCCCATATCTATGACAGGCATCTTCAGAGGTTGTTTCCAACAGACAGAAAACAATCCGGGCCAGCTAACACCTAACAAATGTTTTCCCCTGGGCAGGAAGCAGCCAGGCTTTGAAGCTGCAAGGCCATTCAGTGCTAATCAAGCTGGCCAATTGCAACATTCACACTTGCCTTCTACAGACAAGAGTTCTTTCTCCCACCTGGGACAATATTCCACAGATATATAAACCCCATTTTCCTAGTTTCTAACAATCCTCACAACCTCTGAGGATGCCTGTCGTAGATGTGGACGAAACATCAGGAAAGAATGCTTCTGGAACATGGCCAGACAGCCCAGAAAACTCACAGCAACTTGGTCCTTGAAGGAGCTGGAGGTGGTGACAGCCGACAGGGAGCTCTGGCGTAGGCTGGTCCATGAGGTCACAAAGAGTCGGAAACGACTGAACGAATGAACAACAACAACAAAAGTAATTATGTGTTGTCAAATGATATGCTGTGTCCAGGTTTATACATTCCACAGATATAGAAACCCCACTTGCCTAGTTTCCAATAGACCTCACAACCTTTGAGGATGCCTGCCATAGATGTGGGTGAAACACCAGGCATGATATGGTCAGTGTATATTGCAGTGCAGTGCAGTTTCATCCTGGCAATGCTATCCATACGTGGGATTGCAGGAAGCTGTCTTCTATATTGAACCCCTTATTGGTTTGTTGATTTTTCAAATTATATATTTCTGTCCCAGGTTTTCTCTCCCCAAGGAAACTCAAAGTAGCTCACACTAAAAAATTATAACAGCAAGTTAATTCAAACCGAAAGTATGTAAACATTAAAACAGAATTAAATGTATGACTACCAAAATACATAGTTTAAACCTATAACACCATTCTGGAGTGATGCAGTTATGCTGAATACAGACCCCAGTTGAAGATGGCATTATATGGTTGCTAATTTTGGAAGTTCATGCTCATTGTTTGCTTTTTCTCCTTCTTTTATAAACTAGGCTGCAGCTGAAGGTGAGGTAAAGGAGGAGGTAGGTTAATTTATATTATTATTATTATTATTATTATTATTATTATTATTATTATTATTATTATTATTATTATTATGGAAGTTTTAGTATTTGTTTCTTTCCCATAGGTTTTTATGTCTATTCCTGATGTTCTTGGCATGTTGTCATCTTTTTTTTTTAAACCACAATATGACCCAATCTAATAAATATTTAGAAGTGAATCGCAGAGCTTATTTTAGACTGGATCTACACTGTCATATAATGTGGTTTATCTGCTTTGAACTGGATTATATGGCAATGTAGACGCATATAATCCAGTTCAAAGCAGATAACCTGGGATCAGATACTGAGATATACCCTGTTCCCCAAAAAATAAGACATCCCCTGAAAATATGACCTAGTAGAGGTTTTGCTGAATTGCTAAACATAAGGCCTCCCTCAAAAGTAAGACTTCGCAAAGCTTTGTGTTTATAAATATCGGGATCGGTAAATGTACCATAGATTGTTGGAAATAATGGTAGTAACAAGAACTTCTTGATCGATTCACAGTTTGTCTGGTTATGCTGGTTTGTGATGACAACTACTGTACAGTATATAATAAACGTTCATTTTTTTTGCTTAACAATAAATGTGAATTCTTCTTCACTGAGAAATAAGATATCCCCTGAAAATAAGACCTAGCACATCTATGGGAGCAAAAGTTAATATAAGACACTGTCTTATTTTCAGGGAAACAGGGTATGGCAGTGTTGATCCAGCCTTACCGTGATACTAAATGTACAATGAGTGGCAACATTCATTTTATATTGTTGCAGACAACTCTGAATGTTGTGTTTAAGGGAGCTGTGTTACTATTTTAGTGATTTGTTGCTGTTGTTGTTGTTTCAGCCAAAGAGACGATCAGCCAGACTGTCTGCTGTGAGTAACTCTTTTATTCCTTTTATTCCTTCCTAACGTATCTCAGCCTATCAGCCCACCAGGACCCTAAGATCTTCTGGAGAGTCCCTTCTCTCTATCCCTCCAGCTTTAGAAGTGCGGCTGGCGGGAACGAGAGACAGGGCCTTCTCTGTGGTGGCCCCCCGGCTTTGGAACACCCTCCCTATAGAGGTACGATCAGCCTCTTCGCTGATGGTGTTTCGGAAGAGATTGAAAACATGGTTGTTTAAACAAGCATTCGGCTAATCTGTGGCAATCGAATTTTGGTGACTAAGGACAGGAAATCATGGACAACGAATTCTGGATTATGATTTTAGTTCGAGATGCATGGGATTATTATTGGTGGCCCAATAATCTGTACTGTATGTGTATATGTTTTTAAATTGGAGACTGTTTTTTTAATTGTTGTAAACCGCAATGAGTCGCCGATCCAGGCTGAGTTATTAGCGGTATACAAGTGAATAAATAAATAAATAAATAAATAAATGTGCTCCCAGTATATTCAGACTAATGATGACTTCAGAAATTTTGCTACATCCTGCGGAGCAAAGGATAATTTTGCATTTTATCTAATCGTAGAGTTGGAAGAGACCTCATGGGCCATCCAGTCCAATCCCATTCTGCCAAGAAGCAGGAATATTGCATTCAAATCACCCCTGACAGATGGCCATCCAGCCTCTGTTTAAAAGCTTCCAAAGAAGGAGCCTCCACCACACTCCGGGGCAGAGAGTTCCACTGCTGAATGGCTCTCACAGTCAGGAAGTTCTTCCTCGTGTTCAGATGGAATCTCCTTTCTTGTAGTTTGAAGCCATTGTTCCACATCCTAGTCCCCAGGGAGGCAGTAAACAAGCTTGCTCCCTCCTCCCTGTGACTTCCTCTCACATATTTATACATGGCTATCATATCTCCTCTCAACCATCTATTCTTCAGGCTAATCATGCCCAGCTCTTTAAGCCGCTCCTCATAGGGCTTGTTCTCCAGACCCTTGATCATTTTAGTCGCCCTCCTCTGGACACATTCCAGCTTGTCAATATCTCTCTTGAATTGTGGTGCCCAGAATTGGACACAATATTCCAGGTGTGGTCTAACCAAAGCGGAATAGAGGGGTAGCATTACTTCCCTAGATCTAGACACTATGCTCCTATTGATGCAGGCCAAAACCCCATTGGCTTTTTTTCCGCCACATCACATTGTTGGCTCATGTTTAACTTGTTGTCCACGAGGACCCCAAGATCTTTTTCACACGTACTGCTCTTGAGCCAGGCATTGTCCCCCATTCTGTATCTTTGCATTTCGTTTTTCCTGCCAAAGTGGAGTATCTTGCATTTGTCCCTGTTGAACTTCACTTTGTTAGTTTTGGCCCATCATCTCTCTAATCTGTCATTTGTAGGATATCTCTTGAGAATGGATGTACTGCAGTGGTAAAGTGCTGGTCTTAACCTATAAAACCCTAAACGGTTCCAGCCCAGTTTACCTGTCTGAACGTATCTCCCTTTACGAACCACCAAGGACCTTAGGATCATCCGGTGAGGCCCTGCTCTCGGTCCCACCGCCATCGCAGTCACGTTTGGTGGGGACGAGAGACAGGGCCTTCTATGTGGTGGCTCCTTGGCTGTGGATCTCCTTTCCTTATGAGATTAGATCTGCCCCATCCCTCCTGATCTTCCAGAAGAAACTCAAATCCTGGCTGTGCTTTTATTGAACTGCAATTGAGTGATTTGGATGACAATTTGAACAGGCAAACTGTTCTAATGTATATCAATAACTGTTTTTAATGTATTGTATTTTATGTTCTGTTATTATATTGTGTCAGCATCGAATAGTTGCCTGTTGAAAGCTGTCCTGAGTCCCTTTTTGGAAGTTGAGAAGGACGGGATATAAATAATATAAATAAATAAATATAGGCTGTCATTTTCAGAGTTTGTACCTCAACCATGAAAACTACATACAGTCTAAGAGAAAAACCAAACAATGTAAAAAACCTTTGAAAGCCGTCATGCAAGACGTATTTTGAGTCAATGTCGTTACCATACATGTTTTGGAAGAAGAAAAAGAGAGCGAACCATAGGTTTCTGAGTCTGATTATAGCAACCCAGAGAGCTCAAACACCTATGTTTCTTGGGTGGCGTTTATTAAACATTCAAATGCTTTCTTTGCAGAAACCTGCTCCGCCGAAGCCAGAGCCAAAACCCAAAAAGGCCGCACCGAAGGTAAACAAAGGAGTGTAATATTAGTGCAGGTTCAAAGTACCGTAGATATGTTTCTTCTTTTAACAGTAATGTTCAAATGAGCACAACATTGGAGCTGTTATCTTAGTTAAAATGTGTATTTAGGGTGGTGCTTAACCATCTAATAAAACCTTTGTTTGACATAGTGCTGATGAAAACGGTTTTCATGCTTTGTGTGACCCCCCCAAAGCCAGGATAGCTTCGGGGGTCCGGAAGCTTCAACTAGTCCAACAAACGGCAGCCAGGTTGCTAACAGGAGCGGTCCTCAGGGAACATACAACCCCCTTGTTGCGCCAGCTCCATTGGCTGCCGGTTTGCCACCGGGCCCAATTCAAAGTGCTGGCTTTGGCCTTTAAAGCCCTAAACAGTTCTGGCCCAACTTACCTGTCCAAACGCACCTCCCCATACGAACCATCGAGGACCCTGAGATCATTTGGGGAGGCCCTACTCTCGGTCCCGCCTTCGACACAAGTATGTCTGGTGGGGACAAGAGACATGGCCTTCTCAGGGGTGGCCCCTCGGCTATGGAACAGCCTCCCTAGGGAGATCAGATCGGCTCCCTCCCTAACATTTCGGAGACAAGTTAAAACATGGTTGTTTGAGCAAGCGTTCACAAATGCAGAGTAAATGACATAGGAAATTGAATGACTTGACGATGGAACTGGACAATGCTTGATAATAAGGAGATGCTAATGATATTATTATTGTTGTTTTATACTGTTTTAATGTTTTAACTTGTATTATGATATTACTAGCCATCCCCTGCCATGCGTTGCTGTGTCCCAGATGGGGGTTCTGTGTGGGAGGTTTGGCCCAATTCTATTGTTGGTGGGGTTCAGAATGCTCTGTGATTGTAGGTGAACTACAAATCCCACCAACTACAACTCCCAAATGTCAAGATTCTATTTTCCCTAAACTCCACCAGTGTTCACATTTGGGCATATTGAGTATTCTTGTAGCGTTTGGTCCAGATCCATAATTGTTTGAGTCCACAGTGATCTCTGGATGTAGGTGAACTACAACTCCAAAACCAAAGGAAGTGTCGAAAACCAAAGGACACTGTGCACCAAACCCTTCCAGTATTTTCTGTTGGTCATGGGAGAACTGTGTGCCAAGTTTGGTTCAATTCCGTCGTCAGTGGGGTTCAGAATGTTCTTTGATTGTAGGTGAACTACAAATCCCAGCCACTACAACTCCCAAATGACAAAATCAATTTCTTTTTAGTGAAGGACATACATTGGGTTGTTAGGCGTATTGCATCCAAATTTGGTGTCAATTTGTCCAGTGGTTTTTAAGTTCTGTTAATCCCACAAACGAACATTACACTTTTATTTATATAGATGTGTACTGTTTTGTTGGAAACCGCCTTATTTATTGTATACAAATACAGTAAATAAATAAATAATAAATAATAAATAGCCCTAAACTTAATGACAAATTGCTAAAAGGAGGTAAAAGGTAAAAAGATCCATGCAGCTACATTTTGCCTAGAGAGAGGCAAAATGCATCCTTTCTGGAAGGAAGAAAAGGTAGAAGAGACTGGAAAATGGTGGAGAGACTACATGGTCAATCCAGGGCTTAAACGGCTGAGGGGGGAAAGGAAAGGGCCCGAAACTGTTAGGAATGATGGGAGTTGAAGTCCAAAACACCTAGAGGGCCCAAGCTAGCTCATGCCTGCTCTATAATATGTTTTCATTTGGGATCTTTGATCAGATAATAGGATTAACAAGACAAAGCAAACTGTCCCTGTCTCTTCTTTGAATGCAAATCCTCTTAACAGAAAGAAAAAGGAGCAAATGATAAGAAAGAGGACAAAAAGGTAGCAGCAAAAGGGAAGAAGGGGGCCAAAGGAAAAGAGGAAACTAAGCAAGAGGACGCTAAAGAAGAAAACCACTCTGAGAATGGAGATACCAAAACCAACGAGGTACTGTATCCCCTGTCTAATTTGTAATGTGGTCGTCTTGAAAATTTGGATAAGACATTTCATGTTCAATACTTATTTGTGATCGTCCCTATGACTTGATACGAACTATTTTTCCTCCTTAATGGAATTATGATGATGAGAAATAAAAAATGCTTCATCGAGGATATTTTCTTTAGGAGGCTTGGATACTTCTCTTTCCTAAGCCCACAATTTTGTCCTCTTCCCATTATTTTTATTTTAATTTAATTTTAATTTAAGTTTTATTTTATTTTTATTTTATTTTATTGGTGTCAGGAGTGACCTGAGAAGCTGCAAGTCGCTTCTGGTGTGAGAGAATTGACCATCTGCAAGGACATTGCCCAGGGGACACCCAGATATTTTGATTTTTGCCATCTTTGGGATAGGCTTCCCTCATGTCCACGCATGGGGAGCTGGAGATGACAGAGGGAGCTCATCCACGCTCTCCCTGGATTCGAACCCCCAACCTGTCAGTCTTCAGTCCTGCTGGCACAAGGGTTTAACCCATTGTGTCACCGGGGGCTCCTCCATTAAGTGACACAAAACATTTGTACATTTGCCCTTGATTTACCCAGTTTGCCACAGATCCCGTTCATTTCATAGCATCATAGAATCATAGAGTTGGAAGAGACCTCGTGGGCCATCCAGACCAACCCCATTCTACCAAGAAGCAGGAAAATCGCATTCAAAGCACCCCGACAGATAGCCATCCAGCCTCTGCTTAAAAGCCTCTAAAGACGGAGCCTCCACTACAGAGGCAGAGAGTTCCACTGCTGAACAGCTCTCACAGTCAGGAAGTTCTTCCTTGTGTTCAGGTGGAATCTCCTTTCCTGTAGTTTGAAGCCATGATTTCATTCCTTCAGTCTTTGAAGCTCAACCTTGTTTCAGCTCATGAATTCCCGTCAAGCGATTTGCCTGACAAATAAAATTTTATTCAAATGTACCACACCCTAGTAAAGCAGCTCCAATGGTTGCCAATAAGTTTCCAGTCCCAATTCAAAGTGCAGGTCATGACCTACAAAGTCCTAAACAGTTTGTGTCCTGCCACATCTCCCCCTATGAACTGGGCTCTAAGATCCACCGGGGAGGCCCTCCTCTCGCTCCCACCACCATCACAAGCATGGTTGGTGGGGACGAGGGAGAAGGCTTTCTTGGTGGTGGCCCTCCAACTTTGGAACACCCTCCCAAGGGAGATTAGGCAAGCCCCCACATTGTCCTCCTTTTGCAGGGATTTGAAAATCTGGACATTTCAGTTTGCATTTGAGAACACTTAGTCCCTAGTTATAAATGCCCAGTCCCTAGGTTGCCTGGTAATATTTTGTTCTGTGCATTTTATCCAATAACCCAGCCCTATGGTACGCAGTTTGCGCTATCCCATGCCCGGCCCTTTTTATAACCTGGTCACACCCATTGTATTACTGGTTATTGGTTTTTGTTGAGCACTATTTTGATTGAGTTTCAAAACTGCAGTTTTATATTCTTCTCTTTTATTTGTATTTTATCTGGATTGTTCTAATTTATTGTACACTTTATTTTAATTGTGTTTTTGCCTCAAAGGATTGTTTTGCATTTATGTCTTGTGGGCATTTTGTCCCATATGTAAGCCGCCACGAGTCCCTTCGGGGAGATGGTGGTGGGGTATAAGAACTATGGATTTTCTGGGCTGTATGGCCTTGTTCCAGAAGTATTCTCTCCTAATGTCCACGGTGGGAGAAAGAACTCTTATTTATTTATTTATTTATGACATTTATATGCCGCCCTTCTCACCCCAAAGGGGACTCAGAGCGGCTTACAAGATATATATACATACAATATATTAAATTATTAGCATAGTACAATATCAGTATTATATATTACTATATTGTATTATGCCATTATATTGTAATATTATTAGTAATATTACATGTAATATAAATATATATAATTATAATATTGTATCAGTAGTAGTAGTAGTAGTATATTGTATTATAATATTATAAATATATATTATAATATTATAAATATATATATTGTCTGTTTGAGTCAGGTGTAAATGTTGCAATTGGCCACCTTGATTAGCATTAGACTTGCAGCTTCGAGGTCTGGCTGCTTATTGCCTGGGGGAATCCTTTGTTGGGAGGTGATTAGCTGGCCCTGATTGTTTCCTCTCAGAAATTCCCCTGTTTTTGAGTGTTGTTCTTTCTTTACTGCTATAATATTTAAGGTTTTTTTTACTGCTGATAGCCAGGTTTTGTTTATTTTCATGGTTTCCTTTTATTTTGTTATTTTTATTTTCTGTTGAAAATCTGCAAGGCCATTAAATGCTAATCAAGGTGGCCAATTGCAACATTCACACTTGACAGGAAACAATCAGGGCCAGCGAACACCTCCCAACAAAGGATTTCCCCCAAGCAGGACGCAGCCAGGCTTTGAAACTGCAAGGCCATTCAGTGCTAACCAAGATGGCCAAATGCAACATTCACACTTGCCTCCAACAGACAAGAGTTCTTTCTCCCACCCTTTCTCCACATATTAACTCCACTTGCCTAGTTTCCAACAGACCTCACAAACTCTGAGGATGCCTGCCATAGATGAGGGGGGAAACATCAGGAGAGAATGCTTCTGGAACATAGCCATACAGCCCAGAAAACTCACAGCAACTTTGGATATGTTTTTAATAAAAATAGAAGTTTTTGCCCTCTGTAAAATGGGATATTTCCCTTGTGTAACAATATAATTACTATTTTTGTAAATGCTGCAGGCGCCAGCCGACGAAGTAACTGATGACAAGGAAGCCAAGTCCGAGTAACCAGCTTAGCTCTCTACATTTCCATCATTTGGTATCCGTACCTCCATACTGTATTGTTAAGAGAGGAATATTTTTATCAACTATTTTATAAATGCAGGTTTTTTTAGCATGAATTTAATTCTGGAACATCTTCATCTCGGCGACTTGGGACTTGAACCAACACAAGCAAATCATTGTTTTTAAAAATTTTCTGTGATTGTCATAGTTTGTATGGTACCTGGAAAGAATCAGTGGTGGTAGCTATTGACTTCTGTCAGTATATAATCCCTTTTGTGTGTAAGTCATACAGGCTGCAGATTGTACTTTTCACCCTTGTTCTGTGTTGTACGTTTTTCTTAACGTGGGGAGGTCTCAAAATAACAAAAAAAATTAATAATAATCACACACACAAAATAATTGCGTCAGACATTCCGGTGGTTCTGTGGGTTGCTTTTATAACGAAGGTGAGATATTTTCTTGAGAAAAAAAAAACTTAGAAGCTGGAAATCTTGTTGTATCCCAAATGTAGTTTTATTTTGTCACATTTTGGAGAATAATAATAATAAAAATAAAAAAGTGTAATCGTGTTTTTAAATGAAATACAAAAAAAAATCTTTAAAAAAAGAGAGACGGGCAAGTTAATGGAATATACCCACTGTTAGGAATTTTGCTGGATTTATCTTAATAAAAAAATGGACTCCTCAAAAGTTGTCTTGTCGTCTGCTTGCTTGTTTTATGGCAGTGGTTCCCCCATTTTAGATTTGGTTTATTTATTTACGGCAATAAGCCTTCGTTTCTCAGCCTTGCGGTGACTCAAGGCGGCTATCACGTTGCCAGGGCTCTGCTGTTATTTCCAGCAGAGGTGAATCAAACAAAAACCCAGTTTGATATAAAACAGTTTAATTAAAACAGCACTTACTTGCTGGCTGTTTCAATAGACCAAAATATATAACAAAGATAGCACTAAGCCACAGAAGAAACAAAAACCGACAGCAAAAGCTACGCCGTAGTCAAAGGGTCCAGTCCAGTGGTCAAATGCCAAGAGTTCAATAAACAAAGTCCAGGGATAAAGAGTCTATACCATAGTCAAAAGCCAGTCCAAGGTTCCAGGGTTCAAAGATTACAGGAGACAAGTCAAGATACCGAAAATTCAACAGACCTGGGGGGGGGGGGGAACCAGCAGCATCCACTACCAAAATATGACAATACTTTTCTCCCGAAGATTATTTCCAAGGCTCGCTCCTTATATCCAGAAACACCCAGCTGCAACCTATCCCTTGCATACCTCCATCCTTAATTGCTTTCACCCATGAACTCTTACTTTCAGATTACTAAACCCTTTAGAACTAAGTCTCATATTAACCCTTCCATCACTAAGCACCATCAACTGTGGAACATATGACAGCGGCTCACAGAAATAGACATTTTAGTGCCATACATTCATAACATAGTTAAAACATTCTACTCAACATTAAAAAACATATATAAACCATTTAAAAACATAATCACCGATGTCATCCTGTTAAAATTTTCCAGCAGCATCGTCCAGCCATTCCATGTTCATTCTTCCTATTTCATAATTACCTGTTCCGCTGCACTTCCAAATGCTTGTTGAAAAAGCCAAGTTTTTACTCTTTTTCGGAAGGTGAAGAGGGAGGAGGCCAATCTAATATCCCTAAGGAGGGAGTTCCACAGCCGAGGGGCCACCACTGAGAAGATCCTGTCTCATGTCCCCACCAGGCGTGCTTGCGAGGAAGACGGGATCGAGAGCAGGGCCTCCCCAGTCGATCTTATTTGGTGTGCTGATTCAGAAAATTGCATTGGCTAGACCACATCAGCTCTAATTTCTAATACAAAACATGCCATCCAGCAGTCACCATCTGTTCTCCCACAAAAAACCATATTTAATAATCTAGAGCTGATGTAGTAGTCATCTTTCATAGGTAGTCAGCCTCTCCACTCCTGACATCCCCGTTGCTTTGGCTTCACGAGACCAGTCACTCCCATTGCCACGTGGTTTCAAGACAAACGGTGTAGTCAAGGTGAGGCCACAGACCATTTTTAATACAATTTTTTATTATAATGAAAATTAAAAAATTGAAATAAATTTGTTTCTTTTATATTGAAAGAAGGAGAACAATAGGAATCATAGAAAGTTGGAAAAGACAGGAAAAATAGAAGAAAAAATAAAAATTTCAGTTGACTGGAGAGTAGCATGTACCCAGATGGTCTTAAATCAGGCAGCCAAAGGCTTAAGGCACTTGGTTTATCTGCCTGCTTTCTTTTTTACTATCAAAAGGAAAAAAGTGATAGTATTATTAGAGTATAACAAAAACAAGATAAAACCCTTGCCAGTTTTCAATTATTAGAGTCTTAAATGTCGCTCTGGGTAGAAACAACTTAAAGGCACAAAAAAACAAAGTTCAGCCTTAACAAATACATTTGTAATATGTAGCTTTTTCTTTCACTATTTTATTATTTATGGTTTTAGAAAACTTTGTAAACAAATCTATTTGCATCCATCCTGATTTGAATGTCAATAGTATGCAAATACGACTAGTAAAAATAATGCTAGCAATTGCATCCACAACACTGTCTTACCCTTTGGCCCAGGCATGGGCAAACTTGGGCCCTCCAGGTGTTTTGGACTTCAACTCCCATCATTCCTAACAGCCTCAGGTCCTTTCCTTTTCCCCCTCAGCCGCTTAAGCGGCTGAGGGGGGAAAGGGACCTGTGGCTGTTAGGAATAGTGGGAGTTGGAGTCCAAAACACCTGGAGGGCCCAAGTTTGCCTGTGCCTGCTTTGGACCCTGGAATGTATAACATTTTGCTCGAAGTCAAAAGGTTTTCTCTCTTTACAGTGTTCCTTTACATCAGCGTTTCTCAACCTGGGGGCCGGGATCCCGGGGGGGGGGGTCACAAGGGGGCACTAGAGGGACCATCAAAGACCACCAGAAAACATAGTGTTTTCTGTTGGTCATGGGGGTTCTGTGTGGGACGTTTGGCCCAAATCTATAGTTGGTGGGGTTCAGAATGCTCTTTGATTGTAGGTGAACTATAAATTCCAGCAACTACAACTCCCAAATGTCAAGGTCTATGTTCCCCAAACCACCAGTGTTCACATTTGGGCATATTGAGTATGTGTGCCAAGTTTGGTCCAGACCTCTCATTGTTTAAGTCCACAGTGCTCCCTGGATGTAGGTGAACGACAACTCCCAAACTCAAGGTCAATGCCCACCAAACACTTCCAGTATTTTCTGTTGGTCATGGGAGTTCTGTGTGCCAAGTTTGGTTCACTTCTATCGTTGATGGAGTTCAGAATTCTCTTTGATTGTAAGTGAAATATAAATCCTTGCAACTTCAACTCCCAAATGACAAAATCAATCCCCTCTAAACCCCACCAGTATTCAAATTTGGTTGTATCGGGTATTTGTGCCAAATTTGGTTCAGTGAATGAAAAAACATCCTGAATATCAGACATTTACATGACAATTCATAACAGTAGCAAAATCAAAGTTACGAAGTAGCAACAAAAATAATGTTATGGTTGAGGGTCACCACAACCTGAGGAACTGTATTAAGGGGTTGCAGCATTGGAAGGTTGAAGGTCCAAAGGGAGGCTATGCTCCAAAGTATTTTGCCATCTTGGTCAGAGTTTATTTGTTGGAGACAAATAATTTTATGGTTGGGGGTCACCACAGCATGAGGAACTGTATTAAGGGGTTGTGGCATTAGGAAAGTTGAGAAACACTGCTTTACATGCATTTAATTCTATGCCAGTTTGGGAGTAAATCTTTGTAAACAAAACAAAAAAACCCACACAAGTGGTAAATACATAATATCAGCTAACAAAATATAGATCAATGACATGCTTTTCACCTTAGGGTTCAAAAACGTCTGCTAATAGACAGTATTTGCATTTACATTGTGTGGAACACGCACACATCCCTATGAATGTGCCTGCAGATTCATGTAGGACGAGTAACCTTTAGTATCCGAAGCATGTAGAGCCTCAAATCTGCTTAACTTTTTGAACAGCAAGATCAGGCTTCTTTGGACCCTTTCGTCCATCTGTCTCTAAGAGGGCAGCTGCTGCTTTAGTAAAAGCAATGGATGGTCCTATCATTTATTTGTCCCAAAGCTTCAAAAGCATCCGCATTTCTGATAGTGACGTGACTTGGAGTTAACACCGTTTTGAATACCGTTGAAAAAGCGACAAACCAAAAAACATTACTACAAAAGAGAATTGCTTGGGTGTCTGCTGAGATACAAAATCCATTCAATGCCAATTTTTGGAACCCAGACTTCTATTCCAGGCTCTTGTATATTCTTGGAGATTGAACTGGAGACAAATCTATGTATTTTTAATGTTTTCTATCATTGGCAGGGTGTTTTTCAGAATCAATCAAACAGAAAATGTGATGCCAGGATTCACAACGGAGCGTACTGTGTGTAAAGGCAGACCAACTCTGCTCTAATCTGTTGGAATTAAACCAAGGGATTTGCAAATGTGATTGCTTTGCTGTCCTCCCAACAAGGCAACATGCATTTCTGAAATGGAAAATAATATTTCCAGCATCCCTTAATGGGAAATCTCTGAATCCACACTGAAGCAGTTCAGGGTGCATCTTCACTACAGAATGAACACAGTTTGGCACCACTTTAATTGCTATGGCTCAGTGCTACAAAATCCTGGGAGTTTTAGCATTGAAAGGTATTCTCTGCCAAAGAATACTGGTGCCTCACCAAATTGCACCAGATATTATACACCACAATGAAAACTAATACTGGCATGTTGCATTTGCTTATGGAAATAAGTCTACATAAACAGAATGAAGTGTGCACCGGATAGGAAGCGCCCACTCTTGGCTGATGGACACAATGAGCTCATTTCTTTGATTGTCTTTCAACTTGTTCTTTGGGCATTTGAGGGGTTGTTTTGTACATCATGGAAGGCAGAAAAACACAGGCCTTTGTGGAGATAATGACTCCTGGGCTTTTGTCATGTCATTCACTGCCACCCAGCTGCTATTCTCCTTCGTCAATGTATTGGGAGGATGGCAGGCATTGCTAATGATGCAACCATGGTAACATATTTTCCCCTCTTTCTTCCATTTATGAACTGTTGCTCACCGAGAGCCAGAAAAATGTTTGGCTTCACCTTTAAAAAAAGGAAGCATGGTTCTAAAAGAGTTATGGCATCGGAACGGTACATGGATCAGACTTTCTAATGCGTCGTATCTACCCATCTTTCAAGAGAAAGGACAAATCACAATTATGCATGGGGCTGATCTGGGATAATATGGGGCAAGACCACCTTAACATGGCCTTGCCCCGAGTTACCCCAAATCAAAGAAAAGCCTGAATTCTACCCCAGAATTTGCACTATTCCCTACTTTGGGTCTGTGGGAACAGTGGATCCCTTCAGGGAGATAGGGCAGTCTACAAATAAATTATATTTTATTATAAATAAATTAGTATTATTTTACTGACACAAAAACACAGTATGTCAAAGCAAACAAGATATATATGCTGGATATCATATCACAAAACCACAAGTCGAACACTTCCCAAGTGTCTAGGACTGTGTGATGTATCGGTGAATAATGCGTGCAGATCCGAGTAGGGTGGCCTTTTGCAGCTGACAGTAATCTTGTCAACGCTGATTATTTTTAAGTGCAGGCCAAGGTCTTTAGGCACAGTGTGCC